GCCATTGCCCCTTACCCTGTCACTGGGCACCTACAAAAAGAGCCTGGTCTTGTCCTCTTGACACCTATCCTTAAACTAATTGTATGTATTGATAAGATCCCCTCTCAGTTGTCTCTCTTAGCCCTTCCTCATAAGACAGATGGTCACGTTCCTTAATCATTTTCATAGCCCCCACAAGAACCAGGGCCTGCGATCATGAGGCTACTTCTAGCTGTCCATATAAGGTCTCATCGACTTCCTCCTTCTGATCAGGGTGTAGTAAACACCCACAACAGTGTCACACACATGTTAGCCTGCCCCTGAACTCTTACCCATAAACTCTCAACTCAGTCTTCATCCACTCGAGCTTGATATATTCCACTTGCTGTCTCACATGAAGAGCAGCTCCACCGCCTTGCCTTGCTGCACTGCCTTTACTAAAAAATTTGTAGCCATAAACAGGTGGGCAGGACTCAAAGGAGAGCCAAGACACACCTTTTCTTAGATCTGACCATCTTTATCAATTGCTGTCATTTCAAAGGATGGAGGCAGCATGCTTTTCTCTCAGCTCATTTATTTTACATCTTTTAGAAAGAAACATGCACTAGTATAAAAACTTAGCCTATGCTTAAGCCAGAAGTGTCCTAGTCTCTTGACTGGTGGCAGGTAAGTGAGTACAGAGGGAAACATGTGATAACACTTCCCCATAAACTTCTCCAGCCTCCATTAATTTGCAAGATTATATGAAGCAGCATAAGTAAAATCTAATTCTAAAATGATAGAGCTCAAAAGGTATGATCTAAAATCAATGGTGCTGTGTACTTTTGATTACTAAAGAGATATGATACATTTGAGCTTAAATGTACTTAATGAGATACTTCTAAAATAGTTGGAAATGCTGGAAATCAATAAAAATTGAAGTTGATCAAACAATGAAAGCCAACCATTTGGTTATGTAAGCACTATAAACAAGCTAGTTCACTCCTGCCCTCAGAAATCATTAATTAAATGCTGATTTACAGAGACAGATAGTATATTTGCCTTCATCTGTTTGGGGAAAGCAATATTTACCCATCCAGACTAAAATCACTACCAAAAGTCCATACAAAGTTCAGTAAAATACTGGGCAGTTTCCCTTAAATAATTTAGGGTAATGGAAAACAAAATCTTTGAAGTGGAGAAGAGTAAACCCTGATAGATATTTGACAGTTACTGTAGTGTCAACAAGGGGATTAATGTGCCCCTATGCCAAGACTTGAATAGAACATAGTAGCAGCACAAAAAAAAAACCACAAGGAGGCATTAAAAATGGTCAGGAACAAATAAACCAAACTTAATGAGCTTTACAGCATGCCTTAAATAACTGATGTGTTAACTTTCATCCAAGAATATTGAAATAATTAAACAACAATCCCAGTGAATCATTTTTGCTGACTTTTACCAAATACCACAATGCTGGGGAATTCTAAAGGCCTGGGAAGATGCTACTGTTATGCTGTTGTTCAGAAGTGGTCTCACGGAGTGTCTTGGGAATAGATAGGTGGTTTCCCTGAAGTCAGTCCCACAAAAAGTCACAAAAAGGACATCATGAGAAAGAATATTTTAACTGAAGGGCAGACAACATCATTACATGAAAAATAATTGTTGCCAGAAGTCTATCTTTTCTGATGTTGCCAGTTTACTTGGTATGAGTACTACGTGGACGTACACGTATTTTGGCATTTATGATATGTTTGATGTAGCCCTCTGCTGAAATATGTAGGGCTGTATCTGATGACCATGATCTTCTGCTACATAAGAAGAGGAATATGGTATAAAATAGCATTAATCACTGGCTGCAAAATTAGCGAGAGCTCTTTCCAAAGAGAAAAATATTCAAAGCAGAATTTCAAGAATGACCTGAGGTTTGAAAAACTCATAAGAAGTAAATGCAGAAGATGCGTCTACCAAAAAGAAGATTGACTTGTGGTTCCTTCTCTCTGAAGTGTTTGTACAAGGTGTATTTAATAATTGAGAAGTTGGGATCTAAAAGGAAAAGAAGCAGAATATAAAACAAGGGTTGGAATCTGAAACAAAACAAAAGAGAAAAAAAAATACATCCCAGTTTAACAGTACTGGTAACTGTCACTTAGAACAGCTCAGGAACATGGCTCAACATCCCTCGCGTACAACTAACCATCTGTCAGCTTTGGGTATTCCTCTAAAAGGTGTTGAAACTGGGGCCATGCAGGGGGATCAGGCTTTAAGGTGGTATATTGTGTGTGGCCAGATGTTCCAAGTGGACCTTAACAGTCAGAATGACAGTAGTTTAATCTGGCAAATCTTCTCCTGAAATCACTTTGACAGAAAACCTGGCCAGAAAAGGAAACGGGGGAAAAAATTACATGGAAAAGTTTTAGCCATCAGAGACTAGCTCAGATACAACCCATTGCAGTACAGCCTCACTGAAACCAGGTTCAGTGTCAGTGAGATGTGTAGCATGTATATGTATAGGTGTGTCTCTGTGCTTAGGTATTTCTTTCTAAATATATTAGATACAGATTACAAGTACGACAAAAATGTCTTAAAATTATGGCACTCCATTCTCAAAAAAATGCCAAACATTAAGGCTTACCACAGAAAGCCACAATGATGCTCTGAACCTGGGAAAAATGAGTATTACATCTTGACAAAAAAACTTGAAAGCTGCATAGTGTCCCAATTAAATTACTGCAGTCCCGTCTTTGCAACAGGGAGGAGCATCCTTGGTAATTGCCAAAGCCCTTCTCAGGAGCTCTTAAACAGGTCTGATTTTCTCAGCTAGCCCATTTTATGCAGAGCATTCCAGTTCAAACAGGCGGTATGAACATGTGGTGTGTTAGGCAGTTTGCATGGTGACAATTACGAAAATTGCCACAACACAGCCACTCTTAAGAAGGTCTGGTGGCCTGAAAGAGCACCAACTTACATCTTTAGATGTGTGAGCTTAGTTCTCTGCTCTTTATCAAGCTTTCTATACCTCAAGACCTGTACCTGCCTTTTTCCAGTAAAGTTTTGCAGACTCCTCACTTTCTGGTTCATGCCAGGCTCATGTCCAGACTCATGTCCAGTCATGTAATTAAAATAAGAGAGCAAAAGGGTTCTGTGGGGATGAAGCAGTCACGGGTCTTTTCAAAAAACTCTTTATCGTAAACTCAGGTTAGGTAGGTCCTGACCGTCTGCTAGTCAGCAACCCACAAGTGGCATTTGCTTTCAGGGACCCAGTGTGGTGTACATAATCAACACACACCGGCTTGATCCAGCAACAACCCAAAAGTTACTGTGATTTTCGTCCAGAATGAAAGCTGAAGCTGAAGAAGCCCCTCAAACAAATATAAGCTCAGCCTGTGAGTTCCTCACCTTGGAGCAAGAGCAAGCCAGGTTTGGTTCACTCATTTGCCTGCAGGAATTCAGGTACCTATGCCCAGTTCTCGGATGTCTCAACATCAGAGTGCAGTGTACTCCAAAATAAGAGACAAGTTCGGCAGCTCTGTCTGTAGTCAAGTGCTTCTGCAGAGCACAGTTAAAATAATTGAACAGAGCTAGGAAGAGCCACTTGCTCAGTTATAGGTCACAACACCCAGGAGGTGTGTGTACAGGAAGAGTCTTTTCCACACACTGAAAATGGCCTGAAAAGTCTTTGGAGCTGGGATCTAGAATCATGTTTTCTTTCTTTATGGCTCTTTTTGCTTTTATTTTCTGTATGAAAGAGGTATCTAATGAGGAGGTGTGCTCAGGACTCTCTACTTAGCCTGGGACAACTAAACTCCAAAGAAAGATGTTTAAGGCCAGTCACTGCTGGATCTATGGGACTGCAGTCATTAGCAGGTGGCCTGTTTCACAAACAGTATTGGCAACCGGTGCCTTCTTCAGTGGTGCAGGTTCTTCTCTGGCAGCTTGGTACCTAAGACATTTTCTGGGTATAGTCCTGTGGTCTTTCCTAAGGGGCCAGAGGCCAAATCAGATGTCAGGTCTTTCGACATCAGCTTAACTGCCTGCAGCTTTGGTGTGCAATGCTTTACCTGATGGGAAGTATCAGTTCTGCCTAGCTTGATTTACTGTCAAGGAGGGTTACATCATATCCACCCACCCACATTTGCTGCCAGCTACCCCCAGACACTGTATCTCTAGTGACGCAAAGTAACTTTACTGGTAATCTGACCCCAGCAGTCAGTTTCCTGCTGCACGTTCACCCTAAACTGGGATGTCAGTAGGCTAAATGCAAGATTCTCTGCAGTTCCACTGTGCCATTATGTTCCAATAATGTGCTTTTATTTCAGATAAATACAAAACCTCTTTCCTAGGCACAAACCTTACAGAATGTGCTCTTTGTCAGAGTAAGACGCTTTACAGAGGTATTCGTTGTACTCACCTAGGTCTGTGAAGTACGTTCAGGTATTCTCTGAAGGAAGATGCAATAGAAGTAGGGAAAAAAGCACTACAGATTTTAGCAAATACATTTTATGCCAACCTTATGAACCTTACCTGTTCACAGGAAAAACTATGGTTCCACCAGTGCAGCAGTTTTCTGTGTAGTTAGTTTAAAATAGACTATGGTCATGACTATGTGGATATATTTCAGTGCAAATGAGTTAAATGTTAACAAACATCATACATGCACAATTCCAAAAGTGGATTCCTGTAAACCCAATGATGCTAACTGTTGTCAGTACGTATGTATTTTAGTTCCTGAGATTGCTGTAATCTTTAAAAAGAACAATATGAAGAATTCAGTGTGCATTCTAACCTATAAACTCAATTTGCAGTGAAATTGCATTTTTGCTCTGCAGTCTAGCTGTCAGTAAATCAACTGTACAGTTAAGGACTTCTCTTTTTTTTTCTGCTTTTAAAAGTGTATTAATGACAAAACAAGGCTCTTAAACTACTGCCTCTGGCATCAGTCGCTCAGACGTAGCTGTGTTGCACTTTTTAACAACCAAATTAATTCCACATGAAGAGAAAAAGTATTCACTCTTTTTCTTTTCCTTTTTCAAACTTTGCAGACGTCTTGCAGGAAATGGCTTGACATACATTCCTAAGGGAGCATTTGCTGGCCTTTTCAGTCTTAAAGTGCTGTAAGTAAACTGTGTGTTGTTTGATATATTTCTGATTTCCTAAATGCTCCAGGGAACTAATTAGCCAGTGAAGTTTTGATCAAGTAAATTACATATTTTGATCAGCTCATTTTGAACAATTCAATTGAAGATACATATGAACATCATTAAATCTGTTTTTTCATTTAGAAAATATCCCAAACAAAAAGGTTAGAAAGCATTAATAACATTCTAAAAACAACTTGCTCACCAAATAGATGTCTCTGTATAATATCAAAGGTAAAAATAGGTTCGGTTAATAGTTTCTTTAAGTGTCTCAAAAGTTCTGATTTCAAGTGTAGTAATCTTAGTGAACTTCCCATCATCACACAGAACTGGGGGTAAATTGCCTTCTTTTCTTGAGAGCCAGGGGAAAGAAACATTGTTGTAGAACACCGTGAAAGTAAAATCCAGTTTGTATTTCATATCTTGTTCTTTGCCATGTAATTACTGAGAAGTAAATTAAAAAAATATGACAAACCCCTGTATTATTTGGAGTAATAGGACAGCACATACAGTTACTGAAATTATTAGCAGGCCACATCTCACAATATTTATACTAGAGGGGATCTTTGCCTATCACAGAAACTGTATTGTTAGCACCAGTCTCCCGGGCAGCATCAAGTCAAGCCAGATGCTACTGTAAGAGTATACAAAGCTCTACAGAAAAAATACCTAAGTGGGAAAGAAGTATGAAGAGGTTCCCACTCCATTTATTCTTAAGTTGGCCAGCTGTAGCGCTTGTTGGCCTAAGGAGATTAAGGCCTGCCAAAAATGATTTCATTTCCAGTGTCCCACCAAGTATGCCTCATTTTGAAGGTACATTGTACTAGTTCAGTTTTACCCACATAGAATCCTTTTGTATATGTAGGAGTCGGTTCAAACTGGGATATCAGGCAGTGTAAATGACACTGAATTCAAAGGGAGGAAAATATTATTTTGGAATGAAAAGTCATTTTTTAATCTTTGAAATTTAAATGGTGTGATATTTCAGAAAAGAGATTTGTCAGGTCATTGCTAGCAACCTTCTGTTTGAGAAAATCAATTTCATTGGGAAAAAAATCAGCGATTTTTACAGAGATAAATTTTTATTCAAATCAAATCATGAACTCCTCATATTGTTATAAGTCCCAATTGCCATAGTAGCGTTTTCCTGAGGAAGGATTTCAAGAGTCCGTCTTCTCAGCTTTATCAGAATAAGAAACTGAAGCACTTCAGAAGGAAAACAAAATCAGTACATGAGGATGACAATTTCAGAATCACTGGAGGCAATTAGGTGCTCAAGCCCTATTGAAAGTGAATTGCATTTATTCTTTTAACTTTCTCAGCTGTTTCGAAAATCCTTCTCAAAGCTGATGTGTAGCTGTTAACAAAGCTGATATGCTTCAGGTATTTGTTTGCTTTGAAAAGAGCTGGCATTTGACAGGGGCAGGGGAACAGAGTATTTGTGTAGCTTTCCTTTGTTTGTAATCTTGCAATAGAACCAGTACAAAGGAGGTAAGCTTGGAAAAAAAATTTTGAGAGAAGGAAATCATCTTTACTGTGTTGATTCTGTTTTTTTGTACTACTGAAAATGTAGGATGCTGCAGAATAACCAACTGCGCCAGGTCCCTACTGAAGCACTCCAGAACTTGCGCAGCCTGCAGTCTCTGTGAGTATACTTGACAAATCAACTTGTAACCTTGCATGAACAAGAATATATGAGTACCTATTAACTACCTGTTATTATCACTTAATAATGTGCTGAATCAACTTTTTCTTTTAACTCTCTTTGAGCTGTTTTTCAGCAGAATTGTACACTCAAACATCAAAAGTGACTGATTTCATTCCGGTAATTTCAAGACACCGGCAGCTTCTCTGCAGCACTATAAACTGGTTCGCTGTCTGAGAAGACACACCTTGCCCTGCAGTGCTTTCTGTCTGTCCAGAAGAATATGGTCCCTTGAGCGCTGGTCCTTCCCATGGTTTCTTGCTGAGGTTCTTTACCAGGGAAAAGAAAGAATTTCAAATGACTCCCTTGTTTTTTTCATTTGGTGTAATTTTTTTATTTCTTTTTAAGCAGTATGGAAAACAATATTAACTCATGAAACAAAGTGTACTAGAGGATGCTTTATTATGATCTGTGCTTCAGGCAGGTCTCCATATTTATACTTCTTGACTGTGCTATGCTGACTCAGTCCATGAGCTTCAGTTTTAACAGAACTGCCAGAACTGCTAGACCAGGAGTGAGGATTGGCTGCTTCATGGTATGAATGAAATTATTTTTATGTGCTTCTGCCCCATAACGTAAGGATGGTTGTACCAGGTTGTGCTAAAAGCTGACCTAGCCCAGTATCCAGTCTTCAACAGCAGGAAAACTAGAAGGACTGGCAAGGAATATAAAACACTCCTTTGGTAAACTGTCCCAGCTGCTGGAAATTTTCACTCAGGGACTCACTGAGCCTATTGTGGCTTCTTTGAATTTAATAGCTCTTAAAGAATTTTATTCTATGTTTTTGTACAATTGCTTTTTGAGCCACTGTAACACTCATGATTTTTTTTGTGGCAGTATATCTGCTTATTGGCTAGCTCTGCATAGCATGGGGAAGTACCTCCTGTTATTTACTTGTAACACACATTTGGTGTCCCTTAAGTGCAGCATCAGGAGAAAGTGAAATCAGCAGATCCTTATTGATATATGCCAGATTCATAGACCTCTGTTTTATCTCCATGAGTCATGTTTTTCAGGCATAGGCTGTTAGGATTGTTTTTCATCTGGGAGCTGTTCCCTTCCTCTGGTCATCCTTGTCACTCTTACTGAACTTTTATTCAGTTCTCATATATTTGATATGGAAAAGTCAAGGAGCAATCAGGCCTTCACAGCATGTTTAAAGTTTTTGCACGCTATGGATTTATAGAGTGGAATTATAAATGCTGTTTTGTTCGCTTTCCTCCTAATTCCCCCAAATTTTATTTTGATGAATTATTTTAACCTTTACTGAAAATTGAGCTTTTATTTTCATACTTATTACGACTGCTGGACTTCTGTCTAGCATATTAGTAGCTACTCATGAGTTTGTCATGTAAAGTTTGTATTGCCATTTCCCTAAGTGCCTCAATTGATGCCTATCGACACTGAAACTCATCTGCCATATTCTTGTGAGTCAGTTGAGTATCATGAGTTCTTTCTGCTGTACTTGCAGTTAACAGTTTCCAACCACAAGGCCACTCTTGCTGTCTGCATGCCAGACATAATAAATAGAGTATGTTTCCAAGTTATCCACAGAATTTCATTGTCACCCAATTAAAAAAAAAGTAAAAAGATTATTTTCTAAAGGATCTACTAATTTTGATGAGCAGCATAAAATATTTAGATTCTTTAAGATAGGCATGCGGGTTCTCTGAGCAGAGGAACCTTCTGTCTTTAGCTGACCACTTTATGTTTTCACAGAATTACTCTGAAGTAAAGCTGTTTTTCCTAAGAAGTTCCAATATCCAATGTGGAAGTAAATCTGGAAGTTCAAATATTAAATCATAAACAATTGCTGCAGTGTGCACTGATCACCAGCATCACTGGTAAAAGTCTAACAAAGGTAGAGTGAGTGTCTGTACCAGTCTATCCAGTCTGGTTAGAGTTAAGTTGTATTGGTTGAGAAATAACTGTGTTGAACACAGTCTTCTTTTTTTGTGCATAAAGAAGTTCCACCAAAAGGTTAACATCTTTTGCATACATTCAATTCATCCAAAATCTGAAGAACAGAATTAATTAAAGGAATTGATTTTCAGCAGAATTATGTCATCTGTGTATAACTTGCCGCTACACAGACACACTTTATATTTCATTAGCTCCCAGTTTCTTTTGTCCAGCTTGAACATTTACCGTCTTAATATACAAAGCATTTGTTAAGGTTTCTAAAGGTGAAACAGCCCTAGGAATTAATTATCTTATAATTGCTATTTGGTCAGTACCTTTTTTCTTTATTGACCAGACACAGACTGCAATATCTCAGCCATATACTTTTGAGGTTACAGTTCTTTCCTTTGATCTTTGAAAAAGTCATGAGAAAATGCTGGTCTAGTGACTGTATTAGATTTTCTTTCTGCTAAACAAACAAAAACAATCTTGCTGAGATCAGATCGCTCTATACACGTTCTGAACCAAAACATGATAAGCCAAGCAAACAAGAGTTCTTTTGTTGCTCTGAAAGAGACTGTTGAATTTTCATCACAGTTTCTAAACAAAATGACAGTCTCACTCAGGCTTTTTAGCAAATATTTTTTCCTTGGGTGAACAATTTGAAGTAAACCAAACATCATTTGTGCATTTGCCTATGTAAAGGATGGATATTTTGTGACAGAATTAAAACAGAAGGAGAATAGGAGAGGTCAGTAGAAACCTTTAGACAGCTATGTAGCAGGACAAGATGATATGATATGGGTTTGTACAGAAGAGCTACTATCACCTGAAAGATGATCATCAGCAAAAGAGACCTCTTTGAGGAAAAGAAAACTATTATTCTTTTGTTTGCTTAAACAAGGTTGTGACTGTCGGATAAAGGTGTGCACAGATTCAATTTCTTGTTTCATATAGTCTAGGAATTTTCTGTCCTCAAGGTGGTTCTTGCATTGATTTCTGATTTCCAATAGGAATTGTTTCTTGAAAGCTTTGAACTAACAGGAGTCTTTTCAAGAGTGTAATTAAGAGGTTAAAAGCCTTCACAAAGGCAATTCCTGTAAGATAGCAGCTTCTTGTACTTAACTACCTTTAACTATGCACATGGTGTGATTTCTGAAAGCCTCATTAACACTTTGCTTTAGCTTAGGATGGATGCAGAAAACTGATGACAGGACTCAAATCTCTGCCTTTTGTGGTTTTACACAAGAAAGGCAGTCATATAGAGTGGTCAGCCATACTAACTGCCTTGCTGCCTTAGTCAGTGTGAGGAGAATTATGTTACAATCATTTTTTTATCAGTATACATATACAATTGTATGCATACACATGAACAGTATATGTATATATATATGCAGAAGCAAGTTCTCCATGTTCACTTGTAATACAAATTCATCACAAATATTTTGCACAAAAGGGTATTTCTAGATTACATGCTTTTCTTATTATCTAGTTCCAAGCTAAAAAATGACAGTGCAAGCATCAGTATTGATAGATATATTAACTGATGTTAAATGGCCTGTGGCCCACAAAAAAAGAACTGATGTACTGCAGGAACAAGCAACTATTTGTTCCACTAACTTGTCGAAGTCTGTCATGCAGAATAGCGTAACAAGTTTGAGTGATATATATTCCTAAATTTCTTAAGGGTTGACCTGTTTCTAGAATAGATCAGTCTCCTTCAGACAGCAGATATTAATCAGTAAATACTATGACATAAGAAGTGGACAACAAAAAGAACCCTGAGGTTTTAGCATTCCAGCTTCAACAGCAAATATCTGTGAGAAAATATATTCACAGGTACCATGACTGAAAAGGAGGAACATGACTGAAAGGAGTCAGTGACATGTTCCAACTTGGATCTTGGCAGCAGGGTTTGGTGTCGCTTGTGTTCTGTCTTCTCTGTTTTGCACCTTGTGCAAATATATTTGTTTAGAACCAACTATAAGCAGATGGTCTCTGGGTTTTGTTTTTCTGCAGCATCAGTATCTCCAGAATGCTTTTAAATCCAGCAGCCTTTTAGTGATTTTGAATATAACTGTATGGTCTAAAAACCTTTTACATATGTGTATCGGTTTGTTCTGTAAGCACCATTTTCAGAGGCCGAAATTTTCAATATCAAGAACAGACCGGGCACTGTCTCACTGCCCATGCCAAACCAGTCATGAAGGACATTGAAAAGCAAGCCTTTTTTACTGTATCACCTACTTTCCTTCCTGTAAAATTTAAGAGGACTTCTACTTCAGTAGCACAAAATAGGGCAGAAGACAGCATAGCCCATCTTCCAAAGCACCAGAAATGGTAGAGAAAAAAATAAACCATCTTTTCTCCCTTGACAACCTGCAAACTTGAAATTCAGTGAAGCAAATTAATTTGGCTTTACAAGTAACAATGAGATAACATCAATTACATTTGTTTATTTTTCCTAACAGAATTTGTAAATTGTGTAAACTTTATTTTTAAGAAATTTCAGTATTTGTGGAGCATCTGATGGTTACACCGAGTTTTACATGAAAGATTATCTAGAAATCATCTTAGATATTCTTAATAATCAGCTGGTTGGAACAGGTCTGCAAATGGATTTTTAATCTTCTCCCTACTCCTCTAAATATTTGACATTTCAAGAGAAGTTTCCATTCTTAATCCAGAGAAAGAGTTGAAGACTTTGAGGGCTCAGTGTTCTGAAATGCTTCCAGTTTAAGTCTGAAATTAAAAAGCCTTTTCTTCAGAAATGTTGACTTCAAACATTTTTCTTTCTTTTCCAGTTTGATGCTTGTGTTACTAATCCTGATTTTTTGTTAAGAGGCAAAACAACTTTGATGAAATCACATTCTCCCTAGAGAACTGTTTTCATGAAAAGACAGGAGCTTTAGTTGTGGTTTTCCATGTCACACCCCATGATAATGAAGCCTACAGAAAGTATTATCCTCTTAGGAAACCTAGTACCTCAAAAGGTACCCACAAACTCCCTGAGGAGGAATTTCCCACAGTTTAAATCA